TGTGTGTTTGTATTCTTCTCATTCACTGCTCACACCCTACAGCCGCTGTCATTCAAGTAGTTTTATTACGAACATAAACCTTCAAGAGAAGATGATGTAATATATGTTCGTAAAATTCAACTGAAACGTCTACAAGACAATTATATTACTCAAAAAAATGAAAATAATAACCTTCCAATGAATGACAATGCCAATTCTAATAAAGACAAGCTTAAACAAATCAGTACTCTAAGTTTCATATCACCTTTAATAAGTTCTCAAAGACTAGTGGAATAAATATCGATATTAGAGTTGTTGCTTTTATACACGTCGCCGCATGAATAGTCAGATATACGTATAAATTCCATGTAACAACTTATCTACAATGACTTGCCGGACATTTGCCAAAAAAATAGAGTAATCATTTTTATGTCGATTCATTCCCTTTGCATATAAACAAAGAAATATTGTCCGTGCGCTAACAATATAAATAATCACAACAATAATCGATATCAGGTTATGATCAATATGTAAAATGAATTCTGCATCAGAAAAAGAAGATAGTAGTATGTGGTTTACTGATAATGAGCAGGAAAAAGTATGATTTTTAGCTAAGATGAAACTTAATGAAAAATAACTTCTTTTTAGTAAAAACAATTGATTTTTTATTTTAGGATGAACGTTTCATTCAATACCATGGAGTAAATGAAGTATTTTGAAAAAAGTCGATGAATATTTGAAAAGACCAGTCGCAACATAGCGAATAATACAAAAAATATTAAAGAAAAATCATTGTAAACAAGAAGGATTGACAAAAGATATCAACAAACTGAACTAAATCACCTACATATTTCTTCAGAAACAAGCAAAAATGAGTCAAAACATGTGCTAATTTCTTCAAAAACAAAACAAAAATTAACAAGGACGTTAACAAACTTGAAAAACAATGATTTTTATGTTATACGAGAGTTTAATCAATTGTCGCGTTCATTAAAAAAAGACTAACATTTGACCTGTAGTTTAAATACTTTTTTGTGAATAAAAAGAAACATTCATTTTTCTTTCCATTGTATGATAGAGTTTTATTTAATATTTCATAGTACCATCCTAAAACAAAATTTTCAATTGAAGATTTTCTTATTAAGAAAAGTTTTCGCGAATTTTTCGATCTTTGTTTTTCAAATAAACAAACTTTTGTAGTTATTAAGACATTTAATTTCTTTTTTAACAAAATATGAGAAGAAAGAAAAATCGCTCGTCATCAACTGTTCAATAGTTTTTCTAATGTAATTATGGAAATGCTCTTTTCTATATACAGAAGGGTTACCTTTTCTTGCCATCATTATTTATTTAGATGTACTTTTTTCCGTGAACCGACATATAGTTTCTATTATTATAATTGTAACAAACGTAGATGTGTTCATAAATTCTCTGTTTCCATCGTTTCTTTGTTGAAGAAAGATTGAAAAGATTTTCCAATTAATTTTTTCTTTTTTTCCATATAGAATATACGATACATCATAGCAACACATAAATGAAAGAAAAACAAAATGTTTTGAACGTATTATTATGATAAACAATTATTTAATCGACTTCAGAATACTAAAATACTGTTTATTTTAATTTATCTGTAATAAACAGGATGTTAATATTAGTCTACATACATATGAATCGTAACTGTTTGCATCATTTTCACATTGATGACGAAGAATGCGATTATCTATTGAATTATAAACTATAATCAATCAAAAATGGAAGAATAACAAAAAGAGAGATTTTCGAGATGTTGTTATGTTTCATGTTATAGAAACTTCAGTCGAGTGTGTTTGATTCAGAAGAAGTGTTCAGTTGTCTTGTCTAATCAAACAAGTCCTCTAATTACTCTCCATTTAGATATTCAAGATCGACTTTATTCTATAGGAATGACGTGACAATTCACTGATATATTCTATTATCGATGTAACACTTGTAGTATTCAGATTCAAATACATAAACAAATTTCAATTGAATTATTTCGATTTTTATCGAAAATTTAATTTTCAACTAAATGTTGATTATATTTTCTTTTCAAATTTCGTTTTCTTGGATCGAACGCTCTTCATATACATCAAAAGCTCTATTGATAAATATATTTATCCTCAAATAACATCTTAACACGTAGACAAATCATCTTTCCGAATGGATAACTTTTTTTCTTCAAAATAAAAAAGTCCTGACTACTTTTTCTAATTAAATTGATGAGGTGAATTCAGTTGAAAAGAAGTCAGGATTGTTTTTCCATTAAATTGATGAACTCAATTCCTGGAAAAAACGATGCACAGTCCATGGAAACGAGAGAAACAAATAGAATTTATTGCTCAATAAATACTTTGTCGTCTACTAGGAGTTAAATTCATTTCATCAATTTACAATCTGGTTGGTGATGACTTCAAGAAAAGTTTATTTATGGTTTTTATTTATGATTATTACACAATCAATCGAAGATGATATACACTCAGTGCATATATCTTTGATCTCTGATTGCAAATTTCAATGTGCTACAACAACTTGTTTAGCATTCATTAATGTTATTACATCAAACATTAGGAATTGTCAATTTGCCTGTTTAACTCAAAGTCAATGCAGAGCAGCCACTTTTCATCGATCAACTTCTAATTGTGAATTATTTGCTGATATGTTGAATCAAAACGGAAACATGTTCACTGATGCAGATGCTACTAGCATGGTTGTTATTAGTGGAACACGATTTCCATCGGGTCAGTATAAAAGTAGAAGAGATTTAGAAGAAAATATATTTGTGAGAGAAAAAAAATAATTTTCTTCTTGAAAAATAATTCAATTTACCGAGAATTAAGACAATTTGACAGACATATTGAATACATCTATACATTTAAACATTTCTGATTTTATTATTATAATCAATTCATATTTAACGTTGATATATTCTTAAAGAAAAAGAAACAAATTAACAGATAAACATTATCCAATTGTTTCGTCTCAATCTAATCATTTTTCTAAAATAGAACCAACTACGACTTCAACATCAACAACATCCA